AATCTCTCTTGACTGTTTGAGCAAACATGGAACACATGCCATATGAATAAAGCACTGAATTGAAAAGATCTCCAGTAAGTGTAATGCTAAATGCCCATGACCACTTCAATGACTACTTCCCCAACCACTTCCCCAACCAGGACCACTTTCCCAACCACTTCCCCGACCATTTCCCTGCCCACTTCCCCTACCATTTTCCCGACTACTTCCCCAACCACTTCCCCAACCAGGACCACTTTGCCAACCACTTCCCTGCCCACTTCCCCGACCTGGACCACTTCCCTGCCCACTTCCCCGACCTGGACCACTTCCCTGACCTGGACCACTTCCCCGCCCACTTCCCCGACCTGGACCACTTCCCCGACCTGGACCACTTCCCTGACCTTTTCCCTGCCCACTTCCCCGACCATGTGGTTCACTGCATGCATGGCCACAGGTGGTTGGGCAACATTTCTGTGTGGCAGGACACTGGCCATCATGGAAACAGCTTTCAGCACATGCTTGAGTCTTCTTCTGTTTGGGACAGTGACCCGGCTTCACTGCATGGACACAGATAGACAGTTTTAGTCTGTGCATGACACTTCAATATACAGCACGAAACACTCAAAGCAGAAATAAAACAATTCACTCTGTAGGTAAAACTTCCTAAGTATTATTCCTCCATTTTTGTAAAGCCATCCTGGGTTTAAAACTGTCCTAAAGGATTAATTGAAACCTACTTTCGACTAGAACGAAGGCAAAATGAAAAAAAACAAAACATGACAAATACCTTTATATGGAGCCGTACAGTAATGTCCACATCCATTGCTGCAGCACTTCTCATTGTTGGGACAGTTAGAGTCACTGTTACAGGACGTGGTACATGATTTTATTCCAGATGACTGGGGTGGACACTCTCCAGGCGTTGCTGACAGAAGACCGAAAGCGTCACTGAATGCTGAACATCTTTTCACTTTAATTAAAGTTTGATAATTGCAATCTCTTTTTAAAATGTGACATATCATGAAAAATTTGACTTTTCCAGGTTTTAAGTGCTATAAAACGTGTGTATAATATATATATATATATACACACACACACACACACACACACAGCTACGTGTACGGTGTTAGGCTAACCGAGACTTGTCATTTGCACTTATATATTGTTGCTCTTTTGTTAGTTTTGACTGCTTTTATTGTCCTCATTTGTAAGTCGCGTTGGATAAAAGCATCTGCTAAATGACTAAATAATCAGGTCCCTGGTGCATCTACGAACCAAGGAAACGTGAAAAAGATTAACCCACTAATTTCGTTTTGGGAAGCCTTTTTCTGCAGGTGTCTGAGAAAATGAGCATGTCTGATTTTGCTCTTGGTGATGTGGCAAAGGGATCTCATAATATCACGCCACTTAATCTGTACGTTTCCACCCACGGCGCTGTTATGGTGTTTTCGCAAGCGCCAACGTTTACCAGCTCCAATGCCATGGCGAAAGTTTCAGCAAAACATGCCAACTGTTCGGTCTTTCGCGGCACAGAACACCGTTTACGGTCCCAGCCTCAGAGGAGACATATATATATACACACACACACACACACACACACACACACACAGCTACGTGTACGGTGTTAGGCTAACCGAGACTTGTCATTTGCACTTATATATTGTTGCTCTTTTGTTAGTTTTGACTGCTTTTATTGTCCTCATTTGTAAGTCGCGTTGGATAAAAGCATCTGCTAAATGACTAAATAATCAGGTCCCTGGTGCATCTACGAACCAAGGAAACGTGAAAAAGATTAACCCACTAACTTCGTTTTGGGAAGCCTTTTTCTGCAGGTGTCTGAGAAAATGAGCATGTCTGATTTTGCGCTTGGTGATGTGGCAAAGGGATCTCATAATATCACGCCACTTAATCTGTACGTTTCCACCCACGGCGCTGTTATGGTGTTTTCGCAAGCGCCAACGTTTACCAGCTCCAATGCCATTCCGAAAGTTTCAGCAAAACATGCCAACTGTTCGGTCTTTCGCGGCACAGAACACCGTTTACGGTCCCAGCCTCAGAGGAGACAGAGCAGTGCATTTGATTTATTTACTGTATATTGCTGCTGCCACACAGACCTAAAATAAACAAGTGATTTCCCAGCGGTTTACCTTCACAGACATAACCCACTGTTTTTGTAATGCGTGTGTTTTTAAGGTAAGCTTAGTACTCACATGCTGTGACAGCTGCTTTCTGTGCGTGTGCTTCGGATGAGTGCGCTCAAACTCATATGGTTTAAAACGCAAGATTTCAGTGCGATAAACATAATCAGAACCAAAACAGATGTTTTTAGCAGATACGGGCTGTAAAGGCGCAGCGCTATTCTGGAAAAAGGGGCGGGGAGCAGAAGCTAATTTGCATTTAAAGACACCGGCCTGAAAAACAGCCCATTTCTGCTTCCACTCAAAATAGGCATTTTCAAAATACAATAAATGATCTGTGGAGTATTTTGAGCTGAAACGTCAGACACATTCTGGGGACACCAGAGACTTATTACACATTGTAAAAAGGGGCATAATGCGTCACTTTTGAGACTCATTGAATTCAATGTGTTGCTTTTTTTTTTCGAGGAAGACCCCTAGTGTTCAAGAGGATCATTAGGGGAGGCCAGGGAGTGCGGTTTCAACATTTGGAAATCACAGGTTTAACACCACATGTCTCAAACTTTAATACAAATTTTACATATTTATCCACTTCAATCAAAAGTTAAAACCTACTACTCAACCCTAAACTATGAGAATCACTCATTTCTGCATTTCTTCAGGCTGTGTAATGAAGTTAACATTCTCACCTGTGGTCTTTCCTGGAGTAGCATCTGTAATGCTCAAGGATCCAGACAGACACAACAAAACAGCAACCAACAAGCAATACACTCGAGCTGTCATCCTCCCAATCTGCAATCTCACAATGATCTCTGCTGGACAATGCACTGAATTGGTGCGTCTGGAGCAGCAGACAGTGACGCACACAAAACTAAAACAAATAACCTTGTTGCTGCAACATAAACCTCTGTAAAATGGGGTTTTAAAGATCCAAGGAGATCAGGTCAACTCCAACCCCAATCAAACTCACCTGTCTGTAGTTTTCTAGTAATCTGGAAGACCTTGATTAGCTTGTTCAGGTGTGTTTGATTGGAGTTAGATGAGCTGAATGCTGCGTTCACGCCATGTCATAATAATTACGGAAGCTTAATTACGAGAGGGTTGTGCATTTCTATGGCGACACTGGGTGCTTTTCAATGCTTATTTGTGCATCCTTGCTTCCTTTCCTCACGTCTTAGCTCCACACCTTAAGAAGTCAGAAAGAGCTTTATTGCCAATGAATTGCACATACAAGGAATTTGTTTTAGTGTCACAAGCTTCCAGTACACAGAGACAACAACACACAGTAAATGTGTAAATAAGATGTGAATAAAATACACATGCATAAATATAAATAAACCACAAAAAATAATACATTTGAATGACTCCTCTGCAGCCACAGTGCTGTTCATGATGGTGAGTGGGGGGAGTGCAGGGGGGTTCCTCCTGAAATCCACGATCATCTTCACAGTTTTGAGCGTGTTGAGCTCCAGGTTATTGTGACTGCACCAGACAGCCAGCTGCTCAACCTCTTGTCTGTAAGCAGGCTTGTCACCGTCCTGGATGAGGCCGATGACTGTAGTGTCATCTGCAAAACTTCAGGAGCTTGACAGAGGGGTCTTTAGAGGTGCAGTCGTTGGTGTAGAGGGAGAAGAGCAGTGGGGAGAGGACGCAACCCTGAGGGGCTCCAGTGCTGGTGGTGCGGCTGTTGGATATGAATTTACCAATTGTCACTAGCTGTTGCCTATCTGTCAGGAAGCTGGTGATCCATTGACAGATAGAACAGAGAAATGGGTTAGTTTGGTCTGGAGGAGTTTTGGGATGATGGTGTTGAAAGCAGAGCTAAAGTCCACAAACAGGATCCTCGCATAAGTCCCTGTTTTGTCCAGATGTTGCAGGATGAAGTGCAATCCCATGTTCACTTAAGTATTCACTTCCTGTTTGTTGCTGCCGTGTGTTTTGCGTTTGAGCTCCGTCAAGTTAATTCTTTATCGTTTATTTTTTTAAATCTTAAAATAAATTTTATACACCATCATTTTCGTTTCTATAACGTGTGAATATGTCCCCTATCGTATTCTACAACAAAAACAATCAGAGCGCCTTGTTATCACTAGTTTTATTTTGATTTCCCAAGTCCGCTATTAGCATATAGCCCGTTAGCATCGCCAGCGTGGTTGCCGCTAATCTCGCTTACATTGCTAATACTCTATTCACACACATTACCATTGTTGTACTCACTGTTACTTGTTTTAATGGCGGATGTGTGTCTACCTTTGAGTGCAGGTGAGGACACGTTCGAGCTGCATTTGGTGCAGGTCGAGCTGGAGGCCATGGAGAAGCAGATCCGCGACCTGGTGGAGAGGCAGGCCCAGCTGAGAGAGTGGAGAGCCACGCTGGAAGCATCCCAGGCTGACGCTCACAAGTCCAGGGTAAGTATACAGTGCGCTGCTAACTCTCCCACCACCTCTACTCTGTGTGTTTCTTTGCACAGGCCCAGTGCACCCAGGACGCGATCTTCTCAGATGTCCTTCACTCCGGCGCCGGGACACCACGGACCCTGGGTGCAGCCGCAGCGGAAGACGCGAGCCAGGCCCCGGGC